TGTTGCCGCATGGTTATTTAACCGGCGCTTAACTTGTACTGGTCAGCTGGTCAGCATACACATGGTCAGCTGCGTCTGACGTCAGACTTGGCGGACCAATCAGCGGTCGCCGCTCGCCGTTAGCGGGCCCCGGCGCGGCGGTTTCAAACCAGCTGTTGTCGCGCGGCCGCCGTGCAGCCTGGAACAGCGACGAGGGCTGTTCCAGCATTTGTGCAGTAAAAAGTGAAATCTGTGAACTGTGGTGCTCGTGCTGTGAGTGAGGCCCCCTCTGGCCTGCGTGACGCACTAATCGTGCCTATACCCGCGGTCGAGACGCCTCCCTTCCCCTGCGCGCGCAATGTAAGTGGGCCAGACCTGTGCATGCACATGTGAGCAGATGTTTTGCGGTCGGTGTTTTTTTATATATAAATACATTTATTTGCCTTTAATTCAACTCTTTGTATTTTTAACTTAACTGATGGACATATATGGGCTGTAAAAGCTAATCTGGTTGGCGATCATGATTTATTCGAATTATCTACGTGATCGTGCAACTGCATGATTGTTATGCTTAATGTTCAGGAAATATTCGTCATACGGGCATGTTATACTTCTGGCTTGATGCGGTGCACAAAACCATGTTCTTCCACAAACGCAGCAGTTCTTGCTTCAAAGACTTATATGCTGACGGTGCACGATAGGTATACCTACTGGGTAAACCTACCTCATGCATTTACCACATCCATTCGAAAATATGCACTCGGAATTGTCTCCAGTCAATAGTATTAATTACATGACTGTAATAAATACTAATGATTCCAGAAACTTCCGAATGGATGTGGTGTATGCATTCATTGATTATATAACCCATCAGTATTTCGTTTCTTGTCAGCGCAAGCCTTTGAGCAATAACTGATGCCAGTCATGGTTTTGTGCACCACTTCCAGCCAAAAAATAACCTGTTCGTGTAGAAAATATTTCCTGAATCAGTATCGTGGCAATTGAAAACGAACGCGAATCGTAAGTTCTTAAGGTTATCAACGCAAACAAAGCGATTGTAAGGAAGAACAAGTTCGAACAGAGCGTTAGTACACTTACTTGTTGACAATTTGTAAGCTTGCAATGCCCAGTCAAAGGCTAGCTCATCAACAAACCAGGGGTTGGTGAACCGACAAGGAAACGACTATGTCTATCCAGAAGTTGGTAGGTCCACAAGGCCCAGACTAGTACTCAACAAGGTGACGCCTATGCGAATTGGAACCAAACTTGTAGACAAACTGTTAGTTTGTTGGCTAACAAGCCTGGGGTTGGTGAATCGACAAGGTATCGACAAGGTGACGCCTATGCGAATTGGAACCAAACTTGTAGACAAACTGTTAGTTTGTTGGCCAACAAGCCTGGGGTTGGTGAATCGACAAGGTATCGACAAGGTGACGCCTATGCGAATTGGAACCAAACTTGTAACAAGGAGCCAACTTGTAGATTTGGTTTACAGTGCAAGGGGCAAGGGCAATAACGCATGCGAAAAAGCAATGAGCGTCATCACTTACCGAGTACACTGTACCCATTCAAATCTAAGGGGCATTCAAATTCATTAGCCCCTTGGAATTCAGGTGCTTTTTCATTTTTAGAATTCTTGAGTTTCTGCAGTTTGCTGTCTTCAGTGTAGCGACCCTTGCTTGCAAGCTGGAGCTTTCGCTCCTGATGAAAGCCTGAAAGAAAGCATCGCTATATTATAGCATATGCAGAACAATATGGCCTGGAGCAGAACACATTGTGCTTGCTTCCATACATCACGCACTTATTTAGCAAATTTCTCTGATTCAATCTGCATTACTATCAGTTGAAAGACATACATTTCATTAAAAAATGACAAAAACGACCGAACACTGTTATCACCTACCATTTTCACGGAAGTGCGCAGGAGGCCACATCACTGCACGGCGGTTGGCGCGCAACTGAAACTTTCAAAATGAAACGGCCGGAAACGTTTTTGGCGCCACCTATATAACAAGTAACAGCTTTGTATATGTTACTACTAACACGTCTAACTAGCGTAACTAAGTCCGTGTTGCAAAGGTGTAGCTGATACCTTTGACAAGGACATAGATTACATAAGTATGTATCAGTATTGTTGCAATGGTGTAGCTGGTTCTTTCGACAAGGATATAAATTACAAATCATAAGCAAATCTATGTTCCATATTACGAATAAGACCCTGGTAGTTTTCACAATAGCCTCCATAATCCTCGTCAATTTTATGAATGGTCGACTGGGTGCTGGGGCTGATACTAATATTTGCCCTGTTGATTCAACCAACTATGACAAGATATTCGTCGTTCGACATAACCTTTATTAGTATTTTTGACAAACGCTCGTCGTTGTACGACAACCCCTTGTCAAAATGAGTTTACAGTGTACTTGACGAAATGTATTATTAAATATCCTTCAGGTCTTTACAAACGAATGAATGGTTCATGTAACCAAGAAAATGCAAGACTGCCTCGAGGCCATGGTCCTTCACTGTGATAGATGGTAGTCGGTAGAGGCTATTTGCGGATTCAGACTCGTCCTTATTAGCCGTTTTCGCGACGGGACATCGGAGGTCAGTTTTACCAACAGAAAAATAGCCGCCTGCCGGAATTTTTTGCCTAAAGACCGCTTCACATACGGAGCGTAAACGCGATTGGCACATGAGCGGATGGGGCTTTACCGCGTACGCTCCGTATAAGAAGCGGTCTTTAGGAAAAAAAAATCCGGCAGGCTGCTATTTTTCTGTTGGTAAAACTGGCCTCTGGCCAATGCATCGAACTGGAACAAATCTAACCAAATCTCTTCTTATAGCAAATATATGCATATCATGAAATTATCTCAATGCTTTAACCCTCGCCCAGCCAGGGCCTTTTTCATAACGCAGACGGCCAGTGGGCTAGGGGGTACGACCCCCTGGCGATTGGCTCCTATGACACTTGGAAATACCCAATTTGCAGGGTAGGTGGGCCCATGGGAAATCTCAACGCTGTGCAAATTCGGTGACTCTTAATCATTACTTAGGAGGGTTTTGGGTGGTATTAATGTAAAAAGTTTGCTAAAACATGTCCAAATTTTTCGCTTATAACTTTTGATCTAGCAAAGACAGGCCAAATATAAAAGCACCAGTGAACTCAACACGGCAATGCGCATCGAATGGTACCTGTACCTTTTTTACGATTTAAAGCAAACTTAGAATTTCACTTGAAATTAAATGAACTTTAACCCGTGAACCGCCGCACTGGGGGTCCTGGAGTTCCACGCCACTTTTCAGGTCAAGCCAAAGGTCAAGTAACTAAAGGTCAACTTTCGCCACTTTCCACGTCAAACTTGGATAATTTTCGACAAACTAGCGCATAACTCAGGAAAGGTTAGAGCTACAGCTCCGCGGAAAAACGCAACCGATAGCCCTTTAACGTTCGTTCTGAATAATTATCTCAGAATATTTGACGCGAATCGATCATTATCAGCGGTAAGCAGCGCAATGCAAAGACAGAACCGCCCGGCGCCGGCACAGTCTACCAATCAGGCGGGGAATAACGGCCGGCGCCGGTCGCCGCGCCGGTCCTGCGGAGTGTTTGACTTTACACCCCTGTTACTTTTTTAAAAAGTTGCGGCCTGATTTACGTATACCTATGTATTACTTTCACAGAAAGATGCGCAATTCAATTCTAAGGTGGTGCTGAAAATTTGACGTTACTCTGATGATTACGGCATGAGTTATTTGCAAAAAAGGAGGGGTTGGCGATATTCGCCCTCTTCCACTGCGCGTGAATCAATTTATTTAGCTCTTAAGTTCAAAACTTCATCAAAATGCATTATATTGCATATCATTAGACTCGGCTGACCACGAGGAGCACAGTGACACCAGTTTTGGAGCGCTTGCCTATTTATCAGTCAAATTATTAGCAAAAACGTAGTTTGACCCCATTTGGCCTCAGCTGACCCGACCCTAGCATTCTTGCAGCATATAAACACCAATTTAGTCACGTATGCATATTAACTGAGGCAGTGTAACACCAAAAACTTGAAATGGAACATATATCTCTCATATTTTTTTTTATTGGATAATAGCAGCCATTCGGACAAATTTCCCTAATAAATTAGGTATCATGACCTCTAGATGACCTAGAAATCGAATCAAAGCTCTAGATTTCACGAAGAATATTGTAATTTCAATTCCAATTTGATAGTGTACAGTTTTGTGACCTGGTGACCTGACCTGAGGTCACTGAGACTCAAAACTTTCAGCACACGTGTCAAATGAATGCCCCAAGTTGTGTCCGAAATTTGGTGGCGGTAAGTGCCACAGTGCTTACACTATTAACGAAGAACGTTATTCTGTTGCTGCTAAACGAGTTTATTTTATCCCGACCTTGACCGGTTTTTGTGACCTGGTGACTTGAAATGATTGAGACCTGAAATTTTCAGGAACGACGCCGAAAGGTTTCCCTGGAGGGCATGCCAAATATGGCGGCGCTACCCGCCGTTTTTTTTAATACCCTTAGGGGTTGTATTAGCCTCCCCCTGGGTCGGGCGAGGGTTAATCAAAAAATGTCTGATAATTTGCAAATTATAAATAAAGCATGCTAAATAAAGCATGTATGCATCTACATAATGCAACCCTGGCTTGCGGCCTAACCCGAGAAGTAGGCGAAATTGGACCATTGATGGCCCCTGAAGACTTGATCACATGTGACCTAACAAACATGACGAAGCAATTTCGTCATTATTTTTGACATTCTTTCGAACACCGCCTAACGCGTGATATTGAAATCAAGCAAAACCTTTGACGTTTTTACCAAACTATTCACAAGATCAGGTCGGTGTCTGTGTATTGCCCTGTGCTTTGTAGCATTTTACAAAGTCCCTCAGCGCGTGCACTGACTAGGTCACGGACTGGTCTTCCTCCCTGACGAGACCTGCACCATTCCCGCCCTCCCTCCCTGGCGAGTCCTGCACCAGAGCCGCCGCGGATGATAAGGTAGATCGATATCTGGACATAAGCAAATCTGAGCGCGGATTTACTGTTATAAATCTCCATCTATTCTAAGCTGCAAACCTGTGCAATAATTCAAGTACTGATCACGTCGCGAAGGGTTACCTTATGTAGCAGGTCTGCCAGTTTCTCTGCTATAAAAGCTGGTGACCGACATGTGTTCTACGTCAGTGAATCATCTTCAACCCAGAATGAAGGCCGTGAGTGGAACAGGGTGAAAAGTGATCAGTGAGCCACCTATTTCGGAGAGGATCCTTCTTGTTTTATATCTACTCCACCGCTCTGCTTTACTCGATGTCTGCCTCCTCTATAGCTCCCTGTTCCCATATCTCACTCTCTCATCATCTCGCGCTCACCTCTCTCTCTCTCTCTCTCTCTCTCTCTCTCTCTCTCTCTCTCTCTCTCTCTTCCTCTCTCTCTCTCACTCTCTCTCCCCCCTTTCTCTATATCTCCCCTCTCCTCGCCTCTTTGTTCTCTCCTCCCCTTCTCTCTCTCTCTCTCTCTCTCTCTCTCTCTCTCTCTCTCTCTCTCTCTCTCTCTCTCTCTCTCTCTCTCTCTCTCTCTCTTTCTCTCTCTCTCTCTCTCTCTCTCTCTATCTCCCTCTCTCTCTCTCTCTCTCTCTCTCTCTCTCTCTCTCTCTCTCTCTCTCTCTCTCTCTCTCTCTCTCTCTAATATCTCTTTTCATCTCTCTGACATTTATCACGTGAGAATGTAGCAGAATGGATTAATTGTTAACGATTATGAAACTAATGCGAGCAATTCCTTATTGCAACAAACGGTGGCACTTAATTCAAAAAAGTTTTACGGATAAGCTATCTTGTAAAAGGAATATTTGAAGTAAAACTTATCAAAACTCACATTCAACAAAAATCACAATACACCATCAAATTCAAACGACTCTCCTTTCTAGGTTCTGATCTTCTGTGTGGTGGCTGTGGCCGCGGCCGACAAGTCAGCGAGAATTGCCAACCATCAGTATGGCATCGAGGAGGACGGCTCATACCAGTCCAAGTAAGTCCAACGGTCATCTGAAATTATTGAGAAAAAATATGCTTATGGTTCATATAAATGAATATAACATGATTCCCGTATTACTACATCACACATGAATCGTCGTAAATGTTCACAACTGTAATGGCCGATGCATTAACAAAATGATCTTATTTCAGCTACGAGACAACCAATGGCATCAGGGCCCAGGAAGACGGCATCTCCTACCCCGGCAACATCCCCGAGTCTGGCAACTACGTGAGGAGCGGCTCGTACTCGTACGAATGGGAGGGCGTCACCTATACGGTCACGTGGACGGCCGACGAGAACGGCTTCCACCCGGAGGGTGACCACCTGCCCGACTTCAGCCACACCCGCGAACATATCGGAGGCATCGAAGAACACCTCTGAACTGCTATATTGGTTCCATAATCGAATGCCTGTTGCCGATCAAAAATAAAAGTCTGTGATGAATTATCTATGCATACTAAACTGAATGTTCACGATTATAACTTATAAGCGTCTGTACACCTTCCATTAGCGGTGAATCAAAAATTCCCTTGCCACATTTGTTTATTGTTTAATGTTTATATATATCATTGTATCAATTGTGACTGTTTACACCTCGATTATTTCACCGGCATGGAGTGGTATTGACAAGTTATGATACTTGTTTCGAATGTTACTTTGAAAAGAGATGCAGATAATAAGACTTTTTTGCAGCACGCCAAAGCTTTGCTGAAGAAAGCTTACCTTTCATGCTCACTCAGTTACAAAATAGCATCCATTCACTGTCGGCACATCTCCACCACCACGTGGAGCACGAGTCTCTGCACCACAGCCGGTCACCCTCCTGTCCTGCCCCTGCGTGGGTCGGTCACTCATATCGGACCCATTTGTACGACATCAGTGACCGCGGGGAGGCCGCGCGGTCGAGCGGTGGCGTCTCGTGACCGGCCGGAGCGTGGCGTTCCGTGACCCAGGCCGTGTTGCTGCCACCCCCGAGTACAGAGATCAGAGTGACTACGGCTCACCGTTCCCCTGTGCTGGTGACCGACATCGACAGTGCCGCTCGGGGCAGTTCGGTTGAAACTTGAAAGCCCGGCTGGTGTAGGAGAGACCGGGGTTAATTGGGCCAGCTTTTACTTGAAGCGTCATAACTTCCTATACATATCATTATTTGTTGGCTATTAACTGAGAGCTTATTTCTTTATCTTTTAAAGAAGACTTAATATAAGAGAGATGGTAGCATCGTCTTGGTGTCATATCTGATCAAAGCGACCATCCTCCAATGTCCCAATTTACCCCGCGGGCGGGGTGAGTCGGGCCAGGGGTTGGGGCAAGTTTGAGCACTAGGAAAACAGTTTATCTAATTAAAAAAAATTTTTATTCATGTTTCACATGAACAGTCATCGCTAATCCATGCAAGCATGTTTATCAACATTTAATGACAAAACACAAGCGCTTGCAGTACTCCTGCGGCAAACAAAATCGCACACACGCAAAATGTGTATGACCAGCTTCAGGTGCTTTTACAAAATGCACCACCAACCTCACTCATTCGCTCTCCGAGTAACAGTTTTGACAGATGAAAATTCTGCTGCCCCCCTGTGCATAGCGCATGTGCCCAATCTTCACACTGCAATCATTTCTCCCTCGACTTAATGTTGACAAACTTGCCCAACTTGCCCCACATCAACCTGGCCCAACTAACCCCGAGGCGCCATTTTTAGCTTGAAACCACGTGACCAATTCACAATGATTTGGCGAAGAACGGTCGAGAGTGTACTCATAGCCAAAATGTCCACAGGTCTCTCGGGCGTAGCGAATTTGCAATGTTTCCACTATCAATGACTCTAGAAGAGAATATTTTCAAAGCAAGAAAATCACTTTTGGTACTGCAAACACATTTTGAGCGATTTAACAGCACTTACCTCAGGACGCGCCGACACCACGTTGACAAACAGACGGCGTTACTGTGCATGCGCAAAACAAGTTTGAACGCCAACTGCCGAGAAGTATGGGAAATATCCCTTCCGTCCCAACTTGCCCCTGGCACCAACTAGCACCGGTCTCCCCTACGGATTGGGTCTAAAAGCATCTCATGGGAATGGATACATGGACGGTTGTAAATAAGGCGGGATCCGTCTACTTTTCTAGTATATGTTTATTTGCCACGATCGATCTACAACGCAGATATATTTTTATATCGGACTCCTCTAAGGTGTAAGGATGCGAATTTCATGCCTTATAGTATCCCACTGAGATGAAAAGATAAAGTATCGAGGGTTAGCTAAATAACAAATGGCCAAGTGATGAAGCGCCTAAAGCCAATGGATTTGGTGGTTGTTTACGATGAACTAACGAATTGAAATGAACATAGTTACTTTGTTCTCTGTTCCTGTGTATGAATAACGATATTTTGATCAAACACTTAAATAATATAACATACTTAAATGCTAAATGATATAAATCCTAAATGCTATACATAATGCAAACATTTGACGCATAACAACCACTGCATTGATTTTTCGCGGCATCGTGTTCTTCTCGTCGAGTCGCGTTGAATGAGCTTTAATTTCACCCTAAAAGGTCATTTTCAGTGACACGGGAAATACTTTTAGACTGAGGGGGTACACCATAATAGAGATCAGCCTACGGTACCCCCCAAATCTATAGTTTTCTCACCGGTTTTAGGCCACTTATTTCCATCCCTTGGCTTTTTTCAACAAAAAAGAAAACATTTGCAAAAAAGTGTGGTATTTCGTCTCAAACTTGTGGGGGCGGCGCCCCCACGGCCCCAGACTTGGGGGGGGGGGGAAGCTGCCCCAACTGCCCCCCTCGGTTCCCGCGCCCATGGTTATTTTGAAAATTTCACCTATGGTAAAGGTCATTCTGACCGGAAAAGGTCATGCTGAAATATATCAGTCGATCCGTATCGAGCTAAACTCATCCAAGGTGTTTTCATCAATATGGCATGTCTGTATCAAAAACGTTTGTAAAAAAACTGCTGGAGACCTTTCATGACTTGAGATATGATCTTAGGTATATAACGAGGGGTCATGGGTGGCAATTTTCCGAGTCGGTGTCAGTCAGTTCCGATACATACTTTTTATGCGTAATAGCCGTCTTCATGACGACCATCTGGTACACATTCGGTGCAGATTAGGTGCTGATTACGTGCATATTTCGCTAAATTAGGTTCATTGTGCTTCAAAGCTATTAGCTTGGGTTTCACAGATGCTTAAGTACCTCATTTTTTCAAAGTATCAGACACTTTGTCGATTAAAACACTAAAATCAATTCATGATGATATGGACATATTTGTTGTAAAAGAGATTTGGTGCAGATTTGGTCAAATTAGGTGCATTCGCCAGATGTCCCGCCGTGAAAACGGCTACTGTTGCTCTTATCAATCGCTGAAAGCTTGAAAACGATCGTTCTGCAGTCGGAGTAGCTACGGCGAGCATTGGAACTACTTGTAAAGGTGGGTCACTTGACTTGACCTAATGACCTGACTTTGAATGACCCAGTTCTGAACTTTTCACAACATGTGTTGAAAAGAAATATTGGTAATGTGTGCCAAAAATGGCGGGGGCGAAAAACCTGAGGGGGAGGGGGACGTAAGAGAGTTTTGCAGTGTAAGTGCGTGCAAGCACGACGTCCACAAACTTCCGGCGTATAACACTTATCATCGCTTGATGCTTGGCATACAACCCATAATTATAAAAAGCAATTACATATATAAATCAGCTTACACGAAATAAAGCTAAATATATCGATATTAACGCCAATAAAGGTCACAAACCAGTAAGGCAGCATTCTTTATCAAATGTCAAATGACAGTCTCTTTGGCGGAATCACTAACACATAGCTATAAGAGTGGCACCGATCGCTGGGTATCGCCAGTTGGTCAGTGGCTCTCACCATGAAGACAGTAAGCAATTTAGCATAATCTCTTGTTGCTGCCACCTAACACGTAGGGGCACCCTTCCCGATATCTCGATAAGAGTTGGAGTTGCCCTCAACTGTGTTGGTCTAGCTTTGCTCCTAGATCAGTTTTTCGGGGTTCCTATTTCAAATTGTACATTTATATTGTTCAAGAGTGACGAATCTCTGAGTCTAGGATGGATATGTGGCAGCCCAAGTCAACCATCGTGATACATTTCACTAACGAGGAAAAATAGTGTTATTATAAATCAACTATGATTCTCCCGGCAATCCATCCGACTCTCGCAAAAGGTGGAAACAAGATAAGCTATGCGATTTCAGTTGGTAATTCATAAAGCACGACTGACCCGTGCCGTTTCCAGTTCCAGGGTCCCTGTATCGTGCAGGTGCTCTGCCTGCTCTGCCTGGTGACTCTGCTGGCTCTGACCGCCGAGGCCGACAAGACGGCCAGCATCGTCAACCAGGAGTACAACAACGACGGCAACGGCAACTTTGCCAACAGGTAGAGATGACAAGCATGTTAGCAACATAATATTATGTGGCCTTGTTAAGCGGTCTATGTCAATTACACCCATGAAACTATAAGACAACGAGTATAAATAGAATTTTTCACCGTTCTGTGCTTCTATCCTCAGGATACAGAAATCCTTCTCCTCCACGCCCCAACCCCATCCGGGCTGGACAGGCAACTATCTCATGCGGGCTGCTCCCTTGGAGCGGCACCGCTGCTCCCAAGGGAGCGCACCCCGTAGCCGGGTGCAGTGAGTACTTTGGGGCTGGTCGGCCTGTCCTTCGGGATGGGCTCAGCCCCGGTGACTCACTAGGGTGCCTGCCCAGACCAATGTCTCCCCTAGTTCCTATCATCCTTCCGGCTCTGAAATGGTCTAATTGGACCGAAAGGGCCTAACCCAACAAAACAAAAATAGAAAATTTTGCTACTGCAATACCTAGTTGCTAAGCTTTGATTAGCTACAAGAATGCGTGTCAATTAATTCATTTTATAATATGTATGTTGGGTGCAAAAAGGAGCATTATAACGAGTCTATTTCATCACATATGACGCCTTATGCCTGTTTAGGTTTGAAACATCGAATGGCATAACTACTGTGGAAGAGGGAGTCTTCTACCCCGGTCCGGAACCCGAGTCTGGAACGTTCGCGAGGAGCGGCTTCTTCTCGTACGACTGGGAGGGCGTCACCTACAAAGTGTACTGGACGGCCGACCAGGATGGCTTCTTAGCGACTGGCGATCACCTGCCCAATGGCGGCGATGGTGAACAATATGGGCTTCTATTTTAAGCACAGAAGGAAATAAATGAAACATGAAAACGATGCCCAGCAGAAGGACGAAGAAAATGGGCGACTGAACAGCTCGAGCATAGTCTACATTCACTGAGCCCGTCGAGTGAAACAGTGTCAAATAAAGCAAAACACAGCGTCCCTGTATGAATGAATGAAATAAAGCAGAGAGCAATCAGATACATGAATTTCCGTTTGCCGCCTCTGAAAACCTGGGCGTATTCTCAGAGGTGTTTGTCAATGACGATGATACCGGATGGTCACTGTGTGCCATCCTGCTGAAGGAATAGCGCGGAGTGGTCACCCAGCGTCGTTACTCGCAGTCTCAGGAGCAGTGGCGGATCCAGGATTTTCACTGGGGAGGGGCTGCAGGTCATAATTGGGCGCCACGCCCCGGATGGGCGCCATAGTCGCATCGTATTGGCGCTGAAATATTGGCGCCCAGTGGCCCTGACAAGAGGCGCCCAGGATCAGTATGTACAGTGACACCACACGATTGGAAATATCCGTTAGGCGGCACGGGCGGACATCGATAGCAGCGCCTCTATCGGTCACTAGGGAAAGCTGGGCTGTAGGCGACGAAATACCGGCTGAGTTGTCACACGTTGAATAGGTTTATAGACATCCGTCTTGTGAAAAAGTTGAACTTTTGCCTTCAATATTTCTACAGGCAATTTTAGAAGTGTCTTCACATAGATAACAACACCTTTTATATTATTGTATTCACTTCAAGCCTTCCCTATTGTTCTTGATGATGCGGGAACTATTTCTAATTAGTGTTTCTAGCTTAATAAAAGAACATATTGTGCAAACGATGAAAAAAGCATAGATGCAAGATTTTAAATGCAATTTTCTCTAGCAATTAATGGTAAATTCTCTACAGATCAAGGAAAAGGTGCATGCTAACTGATAATTTAAAGTTCTTGGGGGCCAGTTGTTTTCTTCTTTTCTTACGTCGCCCCAATGGCCGCGAATACACTTGTGATAACGCCTATCGCGGTGCGGAGCGTACTGAAACGACGTTATTCGACTGATTTTTGCATCCTAGTCCTAGTATGCGGCACTCCGATGAGTTGCGAATTGAAAATTGGCGCCACTGCGCCTTCGGCGCAGTGGCGCCAGTTTTCCTTGGGTGGGGGCTGCCAGCCCCCGCAGCCCCCCCCCTGGATCCGCCACTGCTCAGGAGTGGCAGTGTGCGCCGCACCATCCGCCACATCAGCACCCCCAGGGGGCTGGCGTGGCACGTTCACGTGACTGGCTTGTGCTAGTCGATGCAGGACGTGTAACACGCACGGACGAAAACAGAACCTCGTTAAAGACACATAGAAAGCAGCTTTCCTGGTGTCGATCAGAACAGCGGCTGTACGTTGTTTACGCACCTAGCACCCAGGTATAAAACTGTGGAGCACCCAGCTGGTTCACGATCCTGACCCCACCCTCGTGCACAACAGTGACCTGGGAGAGGTCATCATGCAGTCGAGCCGTCGTGTCCCGTGACCCTGACTGGGTTGACTCGTCGTTAGCTTCTTTGGTGACCGACAGCGCGGCTGATTGGTCCGGCTCAAACTCGAAACCGTAACATGATACGGAACGAATACGTATATGTGAAGAGGTATTTGGACTGTTGTAAATAGTGCAGGGTTTGTCTATTGTGAATAATGTCCTTAACCCTCGCCGGCACAGGCCATTTTGCGTCCTTCGACGGCACAAGGGGGGGGGGGGAGGTACGACCCCCATCGCGTTTGGACCCTGATCGAGCTAGAACTTCGCGGAAAAAAAAACGAGCGTGTTGCCCGTCACGAGAGGAAGCCGATGACATCCAATTTTAATGTCCTAGTCTAGGTCATCGGTTGACCTTCCAGGTCAGGTCAATGACCCAAAAGCCGGGAAAATCGGGACCTGTTAGAAAGTCGTAAAGTGTGGCTGCTATGGGGTCTTTCGGGGTGCTGATCACGAATATCGTGTTAGTTCTGATCACAGATGATGTTTTCAAGCATTTAGACCAGGTCGGCTCAGGTCAGGTCAGGTCAACCAGTAGGGTCGTGACGGGTACTCGTATTACGTGTTAACCGCCTCTGAGAGCTTCGTAGCATGTTACGAAGGCACAAAAACTACTTCGTAAATGTTCAAATGGTTGCTAAATTCGACTTCAGCTCCAAAAACTAACCTAGAAACATGTAAAACTCGAAAAAGTGAACCGAGGTCACCAAAGGTCAATGACCTGACCTGACCTTCAGGTGACCTTGACATCCACCCTAATGCATGGGAGCAACATCAAATCACATGTTTGAACGTTTGAAACCACGAAAAGCTTGCAAACGCGCGGCTAATGCGAGCCGACATACGCCGAATCGCGATTCCGGGCAAACATGGTCTCGGAAAGTAGGTCACAGGTCAAAGGTCATTGGGGTCAGGATCACGACATTTTTAGGGTAGGTGTAAAATTGATCATTGCGAGAGTACTGAAATTTGTGTCTTGATCAATCGCTTTTTACGCGAGTTATTCGCGAAAAACCTCAGGGGGGTTGCATCAACCCCTGTGCCGGCGAGGGTTAAGGAAACCTTCATTACATCACTACGCTTAATAAAAGAAAAATAGCCCCTCCCCCCAAGAAAAAAGCTAACTGCCGACTCATGTGCGCTCATTTGGTATTCAATTTATTATCTCTTCGTGTTCTTTTCACTGCAAGCGTGCAACACTTCAGCTGTTCCGTTACTGAACTTGAAAATATCGATAAATCCTTCTTCCAAATTATCAATCCATCTCATCCCTTTACCTCATTGATTCCGTAATCCAGCTCATTCTGTCGGATGTCACTTTTCAGCGGTACTTGATAACCGAGCCGCGGAGGTCGCGGTGTCCCACGGTGGACGTTTTCTGAAGCAGGTACGGGCTACCGGTCCTGCATCGATGACACATAGCCGGGGTGGACAGTCGGCTATGTATATAAGCCGCCGCTGATCGCTGGACAGCATCAGTTGATCAGCCGACCTTCCATCATGAAGACCGTGAGTAAAAGATAATGTCCGGTGCTGTATTTAAGCAAGGCTCTCATTTAGTTTCAGAGTTATCATTTAATGTCAAAACGTGGCGTTTGTAGACATGGTCTTTGATCAGTTTTGCCGAGCCCATCCTTTTATCTAAGGATGGAGTCCGACGGATGCAGGTTTTGAATTCTCATTACATATTACTGATTAATACCTGATAACGTCAATGCTTTTTCCAATTTTACTTTACATTCACGCAATTATTCCAATTCACTTTTATTTTAGGCGCCAAAACATGATTGATGATATAAAAATATTATTTTTACAAAACAGCTTTACATTGAGTTGTTGCTTTGCTTGCTCACCGCGAAGTGGTACTGGCGCCCCACTCACAAAATCGGAATCTATCCTCCAGATTCTCCTCCTCTGCCTGGTGGCTCTAGCCGCGGCCGACCAGAGTGCACGGATCGCCAACTTCCAGTACGGCATCGAGGAGGACGGATCCTATGCTGCCAAGTAAGTGCAAAACATATTTGAACACTAATTACATTGATAAGTTTTTGTTTGCATGCATAATCAATACCTGACTTCAAAGTTACCTGAAAACCAAGTTAGGAAAAAACACACGTTTAAAAACTCGTTTTCTTTCTACATGCGTTACACTTGTCATAACAAGCTCATTTTCCACCAGTTACGAAACAACTAACGGCATCAAGGCTCAGGAGGACGGCATCTCCTACCCCGGCAACATCCCTGAGTCTGGCAACTACGTGAGGAGCGGCTCGTACTCGTACGAATGGGAGGGCGTCACCTACACGGTCACCTGGACGGCCGACGAGAACGGCTTCCACCCGGAGGGTGACCACCTGCCCGACTTCAGCCACACCCGCGAGCACATCGGAGGCGTGGAGGATCATCTCTAAAGCCACTGATAATCGCAACAACAAAATATATACATCATTATGATAGCATTACGCCGGGAATGTGTGTAAGTCGTAAATCATTACAAACTACCATTTCATCGTGACGCCGCTGTTACCCAGTCCTTTGTTAATATGTGATCATCGTGTTCACGCATGTTGAATGTGGTTATATGTGTTTGTCCTGTCTTTAAATGTTATTGTCCGAATACAATTTATTGGGCTGAAAGAAATCTGGCATGCTACTTAGATAGAGAAAATGCCAATCAAGTCTGCGACATTCGTTCAGTCCAAGCAGTAACTATTATTATTGACGCCCTTTAGCCTACACAGTAGCCCCCATCACCAAATTTAATGGTATACCTACTTAAATCGTGTCTCGTAACAATGGTGCCTAAAACACACATTAACCCGCGCCCTGATATGCCCCCCCCCCCTCCTGTGGTTTTTCTTAAATAGCGAGGAAAACGGCGGCACGCAGCGCCGCTGAATTTTTGGTACCTTACTGGGCATCAATTTGACACCTTCACACAAAACTTAAAGTCACAGGTCACCTAGGGTCAGGAGTTATTGAGGTCAAGCTGAGATCATGTTCGAGTAATAATGAGCAAAAAACATGACATCTTGAAACGCTCACCAAATCTACAGTTAACAGGCAATTTTAAAGTTCTTTATGTGGTTGTGTAGAAAAAAGACGGCGCTACATAGCTGCAATCTCGGATTTTCGAAATTTTGCGATTTTGACCCCCAAAAATTATTTTTTTTTTTTAGAAAAACTCAAAAAAAAATCCAATTTTTTTTCGAATTTAGAAAAAAACGGAATAAATGTAATAGTTCCTGCGCTCTTCGATATACATAACAAATTTTAGATTGATACCTCCTTTTTTGGCCAAGTTATAGCGAAAAAAAAACTGTTCAAAATTGATGACGTCAAAATTTTTGAACTCAATCGATACCCATTTTATGCAAAAATATCAACTTTGAAATTTGACTTCATTTGACCTGACCTTCACCGGAACATAATCTAAACTGACCCCAAAGGCTGCCTGACCCACATAATCGTATTTTGCATATAAAATGGACCATAAAACATGCATCACATGATATTTTCATATTGTGACCCTTAGTGACCTGACCTCTGTGACCTGACCTGGTATCAGTGACCTCAAATAGCAAAATACGTGTTTGACGAACATTTCCCCATCGATGATTTCCAACGAAATGCACGTTACTCGATTTTACAACGCATTTCTTGAAATGACTGTAAACGGTGAAAATTCGATCTTTGACCTGACCTGTGACGTCATCGGTTTGACCGAGGTGATTGAAATTGGGTCACAAAGTAGTTCCCCGTTGGGGCTATCCAACGCCGTTTGCCGCTTGTCGCTATGTTGCGTGGTTCTCGAGATCTTAGGGGGGGGGGATCAGACCGCGTTGCTCGGCAGACCCCATCAGGGCGCGGGTTAACTATGACGCATTTCGTAAGTGCATACCTTGACGGCAACTCTTCATTTCATTTTCATGCTCCACGATTATCAATGCTGAAATTTATAGATACCTGTAGGTATGAGAGGAATATGATGGAGAAGGTTGAAAAATGGAATTTACAATGGACACATCATATCTTTTAATGAGAGCATAAGGGATTCCAAATCCTTATTAGTCAAACACAGCATAACTGAACAATGCAAGAAGACGGTATATTGAGTTTTAAAACGTTCAAGATATGTTATAAAACAAGAGTGTGCTTTTGGGTGAAAACACACAACATTTGAACCAAATTTTGCCTGCAATTTTTTTTTTTTAATAAAATGGATTTAGTCACATCCTATGCGTTCAAAAATGTGCGGACATTCCAAATAGGACAATACGTTTCTGCTAAGCAGACTGGCAGTTTCTTAATCAAAAAGTCGCCCTGAATAAATGTTCCCGCTGTTAATTCTAAGTCAGTCCGGTAGGCAGTGCTGCGGTCGCCCGGCCACATCTGGCCGGCGCGGCGGTAGTGGCTGCGGCGCATCGTTTGAAACGGAGTTCCCAAACGGTAAATGACATCCCACACCCAGCCCCTGCAACTACCCCAGCGGTGGCGCTGGCAGCAGGAGTGACGTCATCAGTCTATAACCCGCTGTTTGAGGCCGACACATCCAATACGGTATATGACGTCACGGGGACCGGTCGGTGGCTGGAAAAAAAATGTTCAGCCTTACAGATTGGCTGTAATTCTATATAAAGCACTTGTTATTGAACAATCAAAGTGAATGCTGAAAGCGTGTGCAAGTTAATTAACCAGAGTGTGGATAAATAATTAAATCAATGCAACTGATATCTCGTAGCAAATGATATTGTAGCTACTCTGTCATGGGGCATAGCTATTCTATGAGCCTCCACCAAAAGCAAATTCTGCAATTCTGCACTAAAGTCGTGTGCAAGCACGAAGTCCACCAACATATAACAACTGCTGTTGAGTGTTGATGCACTTGGAAGTTGAAATACAAAACATATTAATTTTATACAAGAGAAATAGGTCAGCTTACAAAAATGAAGCTAAGTACCTATGTCTAAAATAGCATTAATGGAGGTCACAAACCAGCAAGACAGCATTCCTTATCAAATGTCAAATGACAATCTCTGTGGCGGATTCATTGGCGCACCCTCAGCATTTAGCTTTAAAGAATGGCACTGATGGCTAAGCACCGCCAGTTGGTCATTGGGTGTCACCATGAAGACAGTAAGTAATTTGGTATAATTATTGTTGCTGCCACCTCAAATATTCTCGATGAATGCTAGAGTTCAGTTCTCATCTAGCTGTAAGCTGCGGTGGCTGAATTGCGCTGCCCGGCTCGTATGGTCGCGGGTGCGGATGAGGCGCCAGCTCTGTCAAGCAGTCCGTTGTATACCCAATGATAACCTAGTGTTGCCGTTTCCAGTTCCAGGGTCCCTCTATCGTGCAGGTGCTCTGCCTGCTCTGCCTGGTGACTCTGCTGGCTCTGACCGCCGAGGCCGACAAGACGGCCAGCATCGTCAACCAGTACTACAACAACGACGGCAACGGCAACTTTGCCAACGGGTAGAGATGACAAGTTTATATCATCATTATGTAACTTTGTTTCACGGCAACTGAAGTTCATGTAAATTGCACGCACGTAGGTACAGATAAAAAGTTGCAACAACAAAAAACTGTAGCTGAAAAGTTGATTTTGCCAAGGTTTGATTATGTATAGTTTTTTTCAAAAGGTGTTTGGCTCCAAGTGCATTCATTCATTCATTCATTCATATCTATTTCGCACCAAACATTGGCAATTTTGTAACAGCTGTTTACAATCACCAGCAGTGATAAAAACTGTCGCGTGTCTGCACAGAGCTCAGGTCACAGGAGTCACATCCCCCGGTGGGATGGCATTGGGGGATGTGACTCCGGTGGGATGGCATTAACGAAGCTCTCACGTGAGTTTTGGCAAATTCAGCGTCTGACTAAGAACTTCTTACCGTAAAAATGATCTTTTTTACATTCATGTGCTTGGTAAATGCATGGAAATTGTGTCATCAAAAATGAGCACACTTTGATGACGTCACTGGTGGCAGCTTGCACCCAATGTCCGCCGTACGAAGGCATCTAGCCAACGAATTTGGGAAAACTTCGCTTTTCACTGTTACCGCTTTTCACTGTTTAAACTTTGTTTTTCACTTCGTTTTTCGCTGAGGCCCGAATCAAATCAGCGGTTCTTTCCATGATAGTTATACATTACATTGCAATGCAAGTTCCACAGAATGACATCACCACTGTCCTCATGATAGTTCCAAACGCACGTACGTAAAGTATCGTGCCAGTGGTCCACTCGATCACTACTGTCACCACTCCACTGTCACCACTCCACTGTGACTGTCACATTGGAGAGGTGAATTACAAGTCCAGTGACTCCACACCACTGTCACCACTCCACTGGCACCACTGTCACCACTCTATCCAATGGTGACAACCCCCATCTCGCTGCGACCACCCGTTGCCGACTTATATGTACTGCCGGGAAGCAGGCGCCGCAGGCCGGTTTTCGTCCGATGTTTGTTTTGGCCGTTTCCTGTGTTAACCCTATGGCGCACGCGAGCGCGTGCTGACGGCGCACCTCTCGTCCAATCACGCCCAAATGTTAATACCAAGGCCCCCCACGTCCACAGATTCGGCATGCCAAATTTCACGTCGCTACGCGGCGACACATAAGTCCTGACAGACGCGGGCACGCACGGACAACTTATAAATCATAATATCGCCAAGCCATCCCACAAGCTGACCCACCAGGCCATCCACCACCACTGACCCCTGTGCCCTGCGGACGGAAGCCGTGAGGAGCGACGCGCGACACGGTCTCGGTCCTCTTCCCTGTGCTGTCCCGGAGCGTGCGCGTGCCCAACTTTCAGCAGCAAATCCAGGGTGTAAACGCACCGGGTCATGCTCATGCTCATGCGAACTTTGTATATATTCTGTTTGAGACGTGGTATCTTATCGTGTTATGTTAATTTCAGTGACTCATTTTGACTTTCTACCTGCCCTTCCATTGTAAGCCATTCCGAGTGATTATGGTATTATGCCATGAAAAAACGCACGCATGGAATTTATCGGGAATAAGAAAGTACATACCAACCCTTTAAGGCCTTAGAATCCTTACAACTTATGTCTCTTGCCTTCAAAATACCTTTAAAAGTTGTAACCGAAGGTTTGTTGTCAATAGTTAAAACACTATTCTTTAGAATTGTGTTTTTCTATTGAAAAAAAACAAATCTGAGTTCCCTGACAATTTGGCAAAAGTAATCCAGGCGATTTTGGCCAGCAAATCGCTTATTTATTTACAAACAAGTCAATTTTCGGTTCTAGAAGCCCACCTTTCGACTATGAGGGTAAAATCAGTCTGGCAATTAGATACCCGGCTTCTGTTTCACCGGCCCGACGCTGCGCGCGCCCTGGTGGTGACCGGGCGCAACAAATCCGCCGCCGCCTTAGCAGTGGCATTGACTTCCGCCGTCTGCTGCGGCTCCAAAGCCAAGCCAGCGTGGAATTGGGAGAGCTCGGTCACCCGCAGCTGGCAGCTGAGTAAATTTCCTTAAGCATTATATAGATATGCTAATTTCATAAACGTGCTTACGCTTTAGGTTTACGTGAGTGGTAAACCCTTAGATAATATAATTTAATGTAATATTTAGTAGAAAAACAGCAAATTAACGGGTCACTTATTCGAAAGGT